AAAATTTTCTTGGGCACTAGTAAAATTTGTTTTTTCAAAGTAAAAATTCTCTGGCAAAAGTAACAATTTGTTCCCCCTGAGTAACAATTCTTGGCATTTCAGTAAAAATTTGTCTGTCCCTGAGTAACTTTTCTTGGCATTCACGGGAGTAACAATTCTTGGCACTCAGTAACAATTCTGTATGTCCCTGAGTAAACAATTCTCTGACCATCTAGTAACAATTCTGTCTGTCCCTGAGTAACAATTCTCTGGCACTCTGTAACAATTCTGTCTGTCCCTGAGTATGAATTCTCTGGCACCTCAGTAACAATTCTGTGTCTGTCCGAGTAACAATTCTGTGTTCTGTGCAAGTAACAATTTGTGTCTGTGCGAGTAACAATTCTGTGGCACTCAGTAACAATTCTGTCTGTCCCTGAGTAACAATTCTCTGGCACTCAGTAACAATTCTGTCTGTCCCTGAGTAACAATTCTCTGGCACTCAGTAACAATTCTGTCTGTCCCTGAGTAACAATTCTCTGGCACTCAGTAACAATTCTGTCTGTCCCTGAGTAAATTCTGTGGCCCTGAGTAACAATTCTGTGTCTGTGTGCGAGTAACAATTCTGTGTCTGTGCAAGTAACAATTTTGTGTCTGTGCGAGTAACAATTCTCTGGCACTCAGTAACAAATTCTGTCTGTCCCCTGAGTAACAATTCTCTGGCACTCAGTAACAATTCTGTCTGTCCCTGAGTAACAATTCTCTGGCACTCAGTAACAATTCTGTCTGTCCCTGAGTAACAATTCTCTGGCACTCAGTAACAATTCTGTCTGTCCCTGAGTAACAATTCTGTCTGTCCCTGAGAGTGAATTTCTGTGGCCCTGAGTAAGAATTCTCTGGCACTCAGTAACAATTCTGTCTGTCCCTGAGTAACAATTCTCTGGCACTCAGTAACAATTCTGTCTGTCCCTGAGTAAAAATTCTGTGGCCCTAATAACGTTTCTGTGGCCCTAAGTAACAATTCTCTGGCACTGAGTGAAAATTCTGTCTGTCCCTGAGTATGAAGATTCTGTGGCCCTAACTAGAGGTTTCTTTGTCCCTAAATAACGTTTCTGTGGCCCTCATTAATACAAGACGGTGTCCTGAGTAATGGTTTTCTCTGTCCCTAAGTAACTTACTCTCTGTACCCCAATTCTCCGTTTCTGTGGCCCTAAACTCTGTCCTGTCCCTAGTACAGAGCGGTCTGCCTCTGATTCAATGACTGCAGGCAAATGAGATTTCCAAAATGGCCGCTATATTATACCTCGACCATTCAACAGTGCTGGCTGGCTGGCTTTGCTGATTGGCTGATGTTTACGATCACATGTCGTTGTGAGGATGGCAATATTATGGGGCAGCGCGCCTTGTTCCTGCGCGCCTTCCCCGACATCCCCAGCTCCGTCGCCGCACATGTCAGACCGCCATTTTCGGATAAATTCTTTCGATTCCGCGTCCGAATTAGGCTGTTTTTCGGATTCGGCACGAAATCGAAATTTGTTTTGTCCGATATTTCCGATATTCGGACTCGAATTCCACTATCGGATACTTCGATTCGCTCATCTCTAATCATCACACGTTGGAATTCACCCCCATCTTTAATATTGTGCTGGTACTCACCTCCAGACATAGCTTCAAGCATTGGAGGTTTCACAGGTAGCATTTCCCACAAATCTTGGTGATGTCAGCACCAGGAGGGGGAAACAGGCGGCAACGTGGGGATGTCAACTACTACAATTACAGGCCAGGGTGTGAACGATGTTCAACTCATGGGGCCCCCGGCAAATAGGGATCATGGGGCCACTGTGTCCTTGCCCAAACTCAAAAAAGCCTATGCAAAATGGTACCAGGGGCATCTCATTGGGCCCCCCTACTGACCCCCTCCGGCCCTCGGACAGTGCGCAAAGTTTCCAAATGGTCAGTCTGCCCGCTGATGTACAGCTAATTAGAAGTATCAGGAGATTAAAGACAACAATTCCGATTTTACAGACAAAAGGCTTATTTTTCTTTAATATGTTTAACTATTTTATTGATATGAGCACCTGAAAATGGTCTCCTGTGCATGGCCTTGTTGTCTGTTAACCTCTTCCCATACCAATGTCAAACTCATATTAGGAAACAGGGCAGGTGGGCCTTGATGGCCCAGTTGCCACACATATGCATCCATAATCTAAAGGCACACTCACACATTGCTACATGCTACACTGACCACGCTGTCAGCTGACAGATTCTAGTCACTGTTTTGTAGTTGGGGCCCAGGCAGGATGGTTTCCCAATCATGTGATGCTGTGACAGCCTGTGACGGACCACCTGTCACCCAATTGGGTGTAATCCATCATGGAAATAAAAAAAGTTGCTGCAATCCACTGCAAACGTGATCCCCTGCACCTAATCAATAGACAATGAATAATATAGTGTTGCGCTACTCAATAAATATTCCTTACATCATTTACCGTATTTTTCGCTCCATAAGACGCACTTTTTCCCCCCAAAAAAGGGGGGAAAATTTCAGTGCGTCTTATATGGAGCGAATATAAAAGCATACCGGTCCAGTATTTTTGCGGCCACCATGTCAGAATACCCCGGCCGGCCGCTCAGCCTTTCTTCTCTCCTGCATTTCAGGCCTTACTGCTGTTCCTCGCTCCAGGGCGGACTGCACAGTCTTCCCGCGCCTGGCCGTCGATCTGTGACAGCCGGGTGCCCACTGCGCCATGTGAACTGCGCTTTGTGAATGATCCGGTGGTCTTCTGGGACACATGACAGGTCCCAGAAGGCGCCGGGCCATTCACAAAGCGCAGGGTCACTTCTCGCGCATGCGCAGTAGGGCACCCATGGCTGTCACAGAAGCCGGCCCGGGCAAGGGAAGAGAGCGGAAGGACAACTCCGCGGGAAGTGGTGTGCGGGTAATAATGTCAAATTCAAGGTACCCACTCCCTCCCCCTCCCCAAAGGTCATGCAGTCTCTGGGGTCATCCCCTTCACTGTCCGGCAGTCTCTGGTCATTCCCTGCACTGTCTGCAGTCTCTGGTCCATTCCCTGCACTGTCAGCAGTCTCTGGTCAAACCCCTGCACTGTGTCCGCAGGGGCTCTGGATTTACAGAGGCACTTTCGGACATGGTGGTCCAGCAAGGATATATGTGTTCTGGTACATCCCTGCACTGGTCCCCCCGTCCTTGCACTGTGTCCGCATCCTCTGGTCATCACCCACTGCACTGTGTCCGCAGTCTCTGGTCATCCCCTGCACTGTGTGTCCGCAGTCTCTGGTCATCCCCTCAGCTGTGTCCGCAGTCTCTGGGATCATCCCCTGTACTATGTCCGCAGTCTCTGGTCATCGGAATCTGTTACTGTGTCCGCAGTCTCTGGTCATCCCCTGCACTGTGTCCGCACAAAAGTCTCTGGTCATCCCACTGTTACTGTGTCCGCAGTCTCTGGTCATCCCATGTACTGTGTCCGCAGTCTCTGGTCATCTCCTGTACTGTGTCCGCAGTCTCTGGTCATCTCCTGCACTGTGTCCGCAGTCTCCTGGTCATCTCCTGCACTGTGTCCGCAGTCTCTGGTCTATCTCCTGCAGTATGTCCTCGCAGTCCCTCTGGTCATCTCCTGCAGTATGTCCGCAGTCTCTGGTCATCTCCTGTACTGTGTCCGCAGGTCTCTGGTCATCTCCTGCACTGTGTCTGCAGTCTCTGGTCATCTCCTGCAGTATGTCCGCAGTCTATGGTCATCTCCTGCAGTATGTCCGCAGTCTCTGGTCATCTCCTGTACTGTGTCCGCAGTCTCTGGTCATCTCCTGCACTGTGTCCGCAGTCTCTGGTCATCTCCTTGCACTGTGTCCGCAGTCTCTGGTCATCTCCTGTACTGTGTCCGCAGTCTCTGGTCATCTCCTGTATTGTGTCCGCAGTCTCTAGTCATCTCCTGTATTGTGTCCGCAGTCTCTGGTCATCTCCTGCACTGTGTCCGCAGTCTATGGTCATCTCCCTGTACTGTGTCCGCAGTCTCTGGTCATCTCCTGTACTGTGTCCGCAGTCTCTGGTCATCTCCCCCTGCACTATGTCCTGCAGTCTCTGGTCATCTCCTGTACTGTGTCCGCAGTCTCTGGTCATCTCCTGTACTATGTCCGCAGTCTCTAGTCATCTCCTGTAATTGTGGTCTGCAGTCTCTGGTCATCCCCATGTACTGTGTCTGCAGTCCATTGGTTCAGAATATTTTTTTATTTCCTGTGTTTTGCCTCAAAAACCTAGGTGCAGGGCATCTTATGGTCAGGTGCGTCTTATGGAGCGAAAAATACGGTATATTAATATAAATAATAAATACGCCTAAGTTAATACATAATAAATAATTTCAGTGCGTAAAATACATACATCACTAAACAAATATATTGAAAGTCCCAAGTGAATATCAAAATCCATGATAAACATTCATTGTGCCAGCCATCGCTCCAATTCACTTCATAAACAAATATAATTTGCTTCTGTGATATTTAGAATATCTGTGTGCTTCAGCAATGTGTTTCTGCGAAATGTCATGCCAGAAGTGACGTCACTAATCAGCTCCGCCCCAGGTGTTATGCCACAAAACTGTTTTCCCTGACGAAGCCACGGGGTAGTGAGTCACGTCCGTCCACAGAGCTGCGCACCTAAGTCTAGTTAGATGTTAAACGCTCTTTATTTATCTTTTACTGTGCGAGTATAAATTTGGCACTTAAAATATTTTTTATTTAACCACTTCAAGTCCGAACACTTTCACCCCCCGTCCTGTCCAGGCCAATTTCAGCTGAATTCAGCACTATTACACTTTAGAATGACAATTGCAAACGGACATGCAACACTGTACCCATATGAATTTTTTTATCATTTTTTGAGACAGATAAAACGTTATTTTGGTGGTATTTATTCACAACACACTGTACGATTTTTAAGGCTTTTTTTCTTCTATAAATGAAAAGTCCATACATTTTTTGAAAAAAGTGTATTTTGCTTATAAACTTTCTGCAAATAAATAATCTTTCTTCATAACATCTTGGCCAAAATGCATTCAGCTATCTTTTAGTACCGTAAAAAATGAAGCCCAAATTTAGTTTTAGCCAAAAGACCTATAATTTTTTCAAAAAATTGTATTTTGACATATTTATTTTATTTTTTACATTATTTTTTATGTTTTCTATTTTTTACATACTGTCCAACCCTCTAAGCATTACAGTGTCACCATACTGACAACTGTACTACTTGTGGTTGGTGATGGAAAATTTCAATTTACACTGATGCTTTTATACCCATAATGGCTGTAAAAGCAATAATTTTTCTCACTTCTCTCGGCTGCATTCTTGAGACGATTGAAAAATACTGTGAGAGCTGTAATTGTC